ATATATATATATATATATATCGACAAGTGTAATAAATTTTATCTGCAACGTAAGCATTCCATCCGATGAAAGAATAACCGAGCATTTATAACCAACAGGTTCTGTTTCATTTCTCTCACTAATTATGTTCCTCTACAAGCCGGATGATCGCCGGTTCAAGTCTCGATGAGGTCATTGGATTTTTTTTTTCAATTGATCTAATCCTTCCGGCCGCACTATGGCCCTGGGGTCGACTCAGCGTCTATCAGAAATGAGTTCCAGGAATTTTCCTGCGGAATAAAGCGCGGCCGGCGCGTGAGACTGACAACCTTACCGCCATCTGTGAGCCGATTGTCTAGATAATGTGGGACCCTCAATACCTCACAACCCTATGGGCCTTCACAGCCTGGTACAGGGTTAGCTTTACTTTACTTACTTACTTTACTCCTTTATATGTAGTATGAAAATGTCTCTCCCGTTTCTTTCGTCCTGTCCGCCTGGTAGTTGCTAGTTTTAAAAATACATCCATGTTATTTAAAAGTTTTAAAAAATTATACAATTTCCTTGACTCAGATGTTCTCCCCAATATGGGTATGCCACTAGCTGTCGATGTTTGTTCATGTCTGTATGGAGTTTGTTTATCGGTGTTAACAAGAAATATTCTAATTCCATAATGAATCCGCTCAGTCAAGTTCTGTTCCTTATAATCTCTTTACAAATTATCAGTTTTAATACTATTATGTTGCTACGCTTCAATTGTGTCAGACTTCTTAAGTATTTCACAGATTACTGTCTACCAGAGAGGGTGTGGTACAGCAGGCAGGGGCCAATACTCTGAGGCCCCTACTGCCCCCAGAGCCGCATTAGCCTATGGGAAGGTAGCGCACAGGTATCTCTCTCTCTTAATGCAAAGCTCAAAAAAAGTTTCATTCCAATTTCAAACAGTAAAATTACTACCTCTTTTCTTAGTTTACGGAGTTTCAAAGATTTTCGAGAGCGACTTCAGCTAATATTCGTGTAATGCTTGCCCCAGAGTCCAGAACCTTTTGTCTTTTCGTCTGTTGTCTAAAAATGTCAAAATTAAAATATAAAAAAATGTAATTTTGCCTGTGGTTCTCTATGGATATTAAACTTAGTCTCTGATATTAAGGGAGGAACATAGAATGAGGGTGTTTGAGAACAGGGTGCTGAGGATAATATTTGGACCGAAGAGAGATGAAGTGACAGGAGTTTTGAGAAAACTGCATAATGAGGAGCTTCATAACTTGTACCATTTGCAGATATAATTAGAATGATGAAGACAAGGAAGATGAGATCGGCAGAGCATGTAGAACGAACACGCATATAGGATATTGACGGGAAAATCAGAAGGAAAGAGACCACTATGAGATCAAGATATAGGTCGGTGGATAATATTAAAATGGATCTTAGAGAGACAGGGTGGAGTGGTACCCTGAGGTTACCCGGGGTGCGTTTGTACTGGTTTAGAAAAAAAAATATAAAACAACATTTTTTTAAGATTGTTCTTAATCTTTTCCTGCCTTCTTCGCTTTCGTTAACACAAATTATTTCTGACCTGCATCAGATGGAAGTTCTTTCCACCTTTAAATGCTGATAATATGACGTCAGTTGGCCGGTCACGGTGGCCGCGGTCTGAGGCATGAACTCTCTTCGCTCTCTCGAAAGCTGGGATCATGGGTTCGAATCCCACTCAAATATGTGGATATCTGTGTATGCGATTATTCTGTGTTTGTGTTGCCTGTGTGTAGGTAGCGGCCTCGCGACGGGATGATCCCTCGTCCAAAAGGTCCTACCTACTGCGTAAAAAATATTACGAAACTGAAGAAGCCAGGGCCCAACAAAGGACTGTAGAGCCATTGATGAATGATGAAATCCGTTGAGAACTAAACAGGAAGTCTCATCATTTTTATATAACTTTTCGTACTACTATATTTCCTGTTGTCTCTGTATTTCTTTTCCACACGTACATATTGTCGAATGGTGCAACAAAGCCGAAGTTTAAAACCACATTCCACGAAAAACACGCATAAACAATCAAAAGTAATCATTCATCTTTATATAGCACACTATACTCTACATATCTACATAAAAATATTATCAAGTCTCACAAAATAGACACGATACAATGAAACAAAGGATTGCTTACTCGTTCGTGACCTAATACTTAACTTACGTTCGTGCAACTTGTTAACTCTTATCAATTACTTGCTACGGTGACAGGAAACTGAAGAGACTCATTTCATGGTTACTTTATGTACGTATACAGAAGCGGCCTCCGTAGTCTAGGGATAACGTTCCCACCTCATGACTCAAGATACGCGGGTTCAAACCCGGCGAAGGTCGTGGAATTTTTAAGGGCGGAAATATTCAGGGAACAAGTCCTCCGGGAGGGACTTTAAGCCATGGGTCCCGTATCTCTAGGAGACCTCTGAGCAAAATTAGGCAAAAAGTTTTCCGCCCAAGTAGTTTCCAATGTCTCTGGTAGATGGGGGAAGTATCGGGTACCGAGGGCCGACCTTGTTCGCTGAACGGGGCTGATAGCACGCACCAGTACCGGTAGGGTATGGCGACTGGTAGAATATCAAAGGGGGACGTAAAATAGACTATTAGTCGCGGTGCATGGGGAAACCTACCCCCTCTAATAATAATAATAATAATAATAATAATAATAACTGTAAAT